GACCTCCTTCAGAAAATTGAGATTTTTATTATTTATATGTAAAAGGCGCCAACCAACGCCTTTTGTCTTGAGACTTACCGATTCATTTTTCCATTTATTTATTTATAATAGGATCAAGTATACTCTTATTATAATTTTTTAAGCATTTCACTGCCATATGATCCCCATATGAGTCCAAATGAACTATGAATTATGTAGAGATAATTCATCTCATCATCAGGCTCATAGATAAGGGTCAGAATCAGGAGCGTCTCCTGAATTTCTAAATCTCCTTATTTTTTTATTATATAGAGATACCTGGAGATGTTGAATATGGTTTTTGAATTGAAAATTTTATGTTTTTTATTTAAAAGACTTTAACATTTTCGGATCAAATATAATATTCTTCAACGGATAAAAATGAAATTTTCAATTCAAGAATAAAAACTCTTCAATAAAGAATATTTAAGGTTTGGGTAATGGAAGTAAATATGTTAATGCAAGAATATTTTTATTCCCGTATGTTAAACAATAGGGAACATTTTCCCTCGAAGAGTTTTTTTTTTATTATTGTTCTAGGGAGCCTCGCCCCCTGCTCTCTTCGCTCGCCAACCCCGGAGGGGCTTCGCCCCCGCTCGCTTTGCTCCCCCCCCCCAATCTTCTTGAGTTTGTTTAGGTGTTCGTATTGTNGAAACAGAATTGATAGAATGATCGACCTCCTTCAGAAAATTGAGATTTTTATTATTTATATGTAAAAGGCGCCAACCAACGCCTTTTGTCTTGAGACTTACCCATTCATTTTTCCATTTATTTATTTAGAATAGGATGAAGTATACTCTTATTATAATTTTTTAAGCATTTCACTGCCATATGATCCCCATATGAACCCATATGAACTATGAATTATGTAGAGATAATAATTCATCTCATCATCAGGCTCATAGATAAGGGTCAGAATTAGGAGCTTCTCCTGAATTTCTAAATTTCCTTATTTTTTTATTATATAGAGATACCTGGAGATGTTGAATATGGTTTTTGAATTGAGAATTTTATGTTTTCTATTTAAAAAACTCTAACATTTTCGGATCAAATATAATATTCTTCAACGGATAAAAATGAAATTTTCAATTCAAGAATAAAAACTCTTCAATAAACAATCTTTCAGTTTTGAATAAAGTAAATGAATAATTTTAATTTAATAATATTTTTATCCGCCTATTGAAAAATAGGCAACATTTTTCTTCTGGAGAAATTGAATCATTTCGTTCTCACAAAAATCGAGAAAAGTCTCAATTTCTAATCTATGATTCACATAAGTGATGACTCCCCAGGATTAACATGTCTCTTAAATCATGAGACGAATTATTTTCTTCTTGTTCTGTAAATGGTGAATGTTGAGAGGAATCATTGGTTTTTTATTAAATGTTCTTGCAGGCATCTGCAGGAGAATTTTCCCTTCATCGACAAAGCAAGATCAGCGATATGGGGCTGGAGTTATGGGGGATATGCTGCCGGTATGAGTCTGGCAATGGACCGGGACGCTGTATTCAAATGTGGAATGTCGGTCGCTCCAGTTACCGATTGGGCGCTTTATGGTGAGGATATACCAGTTTTTTTTAGGGGTCAATCGAGGACATGAGCTCTCTGATATTCGTGATTGACCTTTTTATTACACAGAAAAAAAATTACTTTTGCCAACTAAATTTACTTGCCACAAGTGAATACATAAGTACATATAAATTTGCGTTTGAAATGTGTGGATTTTCTTGTAGTTAGTAAATTCACTTGGCAACAGGAATTGTTTTTCTCAGTGTAGGGAGAGGAATTTAGGGATGATGATGTAATTATTACAAAACATTGTACCGTACGTCACATTTCACTACACGTAGAGAATACAAAATCAAAAATTACAATGTTAACATAGTAATCTAGGATTGTACCGAAACAACTTTGAAATTTGATCCATCTGAACCGACTTTTTACTTGTGTCAAATTAAATTTTACTTTTATTCTACAGTGGTTACTCCCTAACATTTCGGTTCCCTAACATTTCAGTCGGAGAAGTTCCTTCCCCCACCATCGACAACGTAAATGTATTGGGTAAATCTGTGTGTCCCTCTGCGCGACGCGACTGCGCAGTAAATTACTCTCGGCATGTGAGAGTGAGACAGGCAGATTCTTTTTCTCTGTTTATCTCTTTCCCAGCTCCGCCGCCAACGGAAGAGTAAGGGCTTCCCGAACATTTAATTCCTTGAATTCTGCCCCCAGAGGCTGAACTGTTAGGGAGTAACCACTGTACCACTTTCTACTATACCGATTTTCAGTTTTTGCTATGTTCAACAGTAAATTTTAAGTGTGGCGAGTATCGTCCACGATTACTATGTTCGCACACGGAGAGAAAGGTTCAGTAAAAATTACGGAACTCGCAGTTCGCTCATCGATTACGGAATCGACTCAACAAATTTAAGTGACGGTAGCATAATTTTTCACAGGAGATTCAGATAAAAATTACGGAACGCTCTGGAAAAATTCCGTGACAGTTCCGTAAAATTTCCTACAACCACATTTCGCTCCGGAATTACGGAAAAGATACGTAATTTTTATTGAATATTTCTCTCTGTGCATACACGGAGAGAAATATTCAATAAAAATTACCAGAAAAAAGACGTAAAAATTACGTTT